ATATCTGTTGCTGAAGCCACCTGGTCTGTGATACCTTTTTTATGGCCTCATGGCATGTGGGATCTTAGTTCCCCTACTAGAGATGGAACCTGTGCCCCCTGCATAGGAAGGGCAGAGTCTTAACCACTGGACCACCAGAGAAGTCCCTATGGTACTTTGTTAAGGTAACCCTAGCAAACTAATACAAGCTCTCATTGGGTTCTGGTAACACCTCCACCCCTCGTTTCTTCAGGCCTAGGGTGGCAAACACTCCCACTGGTGCTAGGCCCCAGATGCCTCATCATCCCTACCTAGCTGGTTTCCCTTAAGCCCGTCAATCCCTTTATTCAATTCTCTCCAATTATTCTGTTGACTGTGCCAAGTTTCCTGATACTCAAGCCTACAATGTAATTATATTTTCCCAATATACTTCACAAAACTATCACAAAGGCAAGAGAAAGTTCTGTTGGGGTTCTCCAATCATGCAGATGTCTACTGGGAATCTTATTCAAATAAAGCATCTGTTTTATTCTCACTTTCTTCTTCTCTTGTCTATTTCATCTCCCAGGACACAGGGTAAGCCATAAGGGGAAGTGATACTTTGGATTTAATTCAGATCAAAACTTTGAGAGTTTGTGGTAATCAAGCCAGGGAATGTTGGGTATGATGAAATAAGTGTGCTACGCTTAGGTGCTCATATTTCAAAATTCCAAAGAAGCATTAGGGAAGATCCGGGACGGTCTTAAAAAATAAATTAGCTCATAAGGAATGGGATCTTTGCAGAAATTAAATTCTCACACTGCCCATAAGCAACAAAACCACAACGATTTATGTTCTCTGAATAATTCTACTTTTAAAAGAACTTGCAGAAAAACAGTTGTGGGAGAGGGATATGCATGTAATTGAGAATAAATAGCAAAAGACCACCACTTTTTTTTCTATTTATTTTTATTAGTTGGAGGCTAATTACTTTACAATATTGTAGTGGTTTCTGCCATACATTGACATGAATCAGCCATGGATTTACATGTGTTCCCCATCCCGATCCCCTCCTCCCACCTCCCTCTCCACCCGATCCCTCTGGGTCTTCGCAATGCACCAGCCCTGAGCACTTGTCTCGTGCATTCAACCTGGGCTGATGATCTCTTTCACCCTTGATAGTATACTTGTTTCAATGCTATTCTCTCAGAACATCCCACCCTCGCCTTCTCCCACAGAGTCCAAAAGTCTGTTCTGTACATCTGTGTCTTTTTCTGTTTTGCATATAGGGTTATCATTACCATCTTTCTAAATTCCATATATATGCATTAGTATACTGTATTGGTGTTTATCTTTCTGGCTTACTTCACTCTGTATAATGGGCTCCAGTTTCATCCATCTCATTAGAACTGATTCAAATGAATTCTTTTTAATGGCTGAGTAATACTCCATGGTATATATGTACCACAGCTTTCTTATCCATTCGTCTGCTGATGGACATCTAGGTTGCTTCCATGTCCTGGCTATTATATACAGTGCTGCGATGAACATTGGGGTGCACGTGTCTCTTTCAGATCTGGTTTCCTCGGTGTGTATGCCCAGAAGTGGGATTTCTGGGTCATATGGCAGTTCTATTTCCAGTTTTTTAAGGAATCTCCACACTGTCCTCCACAGTGGCTGTACTAGTTTGCATTCCCACCAACAGTGTAAGAGGGTTCCCTTTTCTCCACACCCTCTCCAGCATTTATTGCTTGTAGACTTTTGGATAGCAGCCATTCTGACTGGCGTGTAATGGTACCTCATCGTGGTTTTGATTCGTATTTCTCTGATAAAGAGTGATGTTGAGCATCTTTTCATGTGTTTGTTAGCCATCTGTATGTCTTCTTCGGAGAAATATCTGTTTAGTTCTTTGGCCCATTTTTTGATTGGGTCATTTATTTTTCTGGAATTGAGCTGCAGGAGTTCTTGTATATTTTTGAGATTAATCCTTTGTCTGTCGCTTCTTTTGCTATTATTTTCCCCCAATCTGAGGGCTGTCTTTTCACCTTGCTCATAGTTTCCTTTGTTGTGCAAAAGCTTTTAAGTTTAATTAGGTCCCATTTTGTTTATTTTTGCTTTTATTTCCAATATTCTAGGAGGTGGGTCATAGAGGATCCTGCTGTGATTTATGTCAGAGTGTTTTGCCTATGTTCTCCTCTAGGAGTTTTATAGTTTCTGGTCTTACATTTAGATCTTTAATCCATTTTGAGTTTATTTTTGTGTATGGTGTTAGAAAGTGTTCTAGTTTCATTCTTTTACAAGTGGTTGACCAGTTTTCCCAGCACCACTTGTTAAAGAGGTTGTCTTTTTTCCATTGTATATTCTTGCCTCCTTTGTCGAAGATAAGGTATCCATAGGTTCTTGGATTTATCTCTGGGCTTTCTATTCTGTTCCATTGATCTATATTTCTGTCTTTGTGCCCGTACCATACTGAAAAGACCACCACTTTTAAGAATAACTTCTGTTAGGGTAAAATCCAAAATAGATTAAGCCTTGTGAAATGGGGGGGGGGGTGGTAGGATTTTTAAGGTTACATTTAAAGGAGGAAGCATAAAAAAAGGTATAAGCTTTAGAATAGGGAAAAAACCAAGCAAGCTAGCTTATGTGAACAATTATAGAAACTGTAGAAAAAGTGTGAAGAACTGAAGCATGCTGGGAGAATGGGGAAAACAGAAGAAAGAAAAAGAAGAAATAGTCAATCCTGGGAACTCAGTCCAATAAGCTTGACATTGCCTCTGGAAAAATTCTCAAATGAGTTATTTAACAGAGGACTGGTAAGCTCTTAAGAGAGAGAAGCACAGGGTCAGAATAGGTGTGACTGATTCATGCCAAGTTACACATTCCTTTTTGATGGATCCGCACTAACCTATTTGGGTTTTAGCACAGCTCTCCGATTGTACCTCTCAGTGTTTTCTCTCCTTCATCCAGACCTTTCTCATAAACTGCACATCATTTTTTTTTTTTTTTTTGCCACACCCTGTGGCTTGTGAGATTTTTAGTTTTCTGACCTGGGATCAAACCTGGGACCTTAGCAATGAGAGCTTGGAGTCTTATCCACTGGACAACCAGGGAATTCCCACATCATTTATTCTTTGATTAGACAAATATTTGAGCACCTAGTAAGTGTCAGACACCCTAATAAGTGCTTGTTAGTGAGGATACATCAAGGAAAAACCAAGCAGCACTCCAACTCCCATAGAGTTTACTTTCTGTGGGAAGTAATTTCCCCATTCTGGGACTTTTCCTGAGCCACCAGCACTCTCCTGTCTTTTCTAAATCCTGAGCAGGCAGAATCCTCAGACTCCAGGGTTTCACTGTCTGCCCCAAATCTCCTTTTGTTTTCAAGGATAGAACTCAGAGGAAACTGGGTTGTATTTTCCTTGGACAACAGGTGCTGTCCTCTTTTGCAATCTGCCTAGAAATGCTATCATTCAGGTTCCCTGCAACAGATATTAATTATCTAAATTTCAAATTTGGCAAACCTACGTTTCCAGCCTCACGTTCTACTTCATCTCTTTAGTCATTACCAGCCTCAGTCCCCACCGGTAGGTGTCCAAGCCTGTCTTTTTGCTCAATTAATTTTCTCATTCAGGAATGTGTGACATCTCCTCCACTTCTGGAAATCCTACACATTTCCCAAGACCCAGCACAAAAGCTGTCTCCTCCCTGGCTGGACTTAATGACCTACTTTGCTCAATAAAATCCTGCCCAAGGCCCCATGCTTGACCTGTGCAGCACTATTGTACTTTCATCTTCCCTTCTCAGTTAATTACTTACTTCTCGGTCTTCCCCACTAAGGTCTAACTTCTAGAAGAGCGAGGATCTGCAGGCTTCCACCTGTCCTGCTGTAGTACTTTACAAAGGGGTTGGCAAACTAAGGCCCGAACCAAGAATGGTTGAAATCATGGGAAAGGATCAACAGAAAAATAGTATTTCATGATACCGGAAAATTACATGAAATTCAAGTTTCAGGGACCATAAAGAAGGCTTGTTTTGAGCACTGAGAAGCTTTTGAGCTCTAGTGGCAGAGCTGAGTAGTTAACAGATCTTATGATCCCCAAGTCTTTGTTTACTACATGGCCCTTAACAGAAAAACTTTTCTAACCCTGCTATACAACAAGTATTTGATGAATGATCACTGTGTCAGGACACCAAGGTTCTGAGTACATATCCCCTCTGAGTTAGCTTATTTGTGTAGTGGAAGTAATAACTATCTTGCCTTTAAGCTGTCATGAACATCAAATGAGAAAATGCACTTAGAAAGTATAAATCTATTCTATAAAGACAACTGCGTGTATCTGTACTGAAAAGTTGATAAAGTGGTAAAATAAGAAAACACTAAGTTTTATTCTCCCGCTTCCTTCAACAGTCTTCATTTGACTTTGAAATTGTACGAGACAACTCACTTTTAAAGTCTTTGCTTTTCCAGTAACGATAAAGTCACAGGTTCCTTCCTTCCAGTCCCTGTGATGCTCCTACTCCTTTTTCTTTCTTTCTCGTAATTTCTCCCTCAGTTTTCCTCACAGAGTTTCTCAGCTGGCCCTCACAATAGCGCAGTGGAGGGACTGGGACACACCTGATTATTTCCTTTTACAGATCAGGAAACCAAGGCAGGTTACAGTCGGCCACGGAGCTCTGACTCAGCACGCAGGGAACCCTCTATGCCACCCTGTTCACCATTCCTCAGGAGGCGACGGCCCGGCGAATACTTAGTACGAGCTTGAGTAGCTCGTACTGCGAGGCTTCCAGGCTCGCTTCTCAAACACCCCTCGCGCGCTCACCCTCGGCGTTCTTCCCCTCCCCTCCTCCCCCGTTCTTCACGCCCTCCCCTTCTCACGAGCAGGTGGTAGGCTCCGCGCTCAGCGCGCAAGCGCGCGCCGTCGTGGGCGGGGCGGGGTGGGCGCAGAGGGGCGGGGCGTGCGCGGGCTGGGTTTGGGGCCGCGGCGGGAGCGGGAGTCACCGCCACTCGAGTGCGCAGGCGCCTGGCGGTTACCGGTCTCGCCATGGAGCGGAAAGGTGAGCGGTGGAGCGGCCTCTCGCCACGAGGGGCAACGGCCGCCGGGGGCGAGGCCCGGGTCACCTCCGGGAGCTTCGCCTAACCGCCGCCGTCCGGTCCCCGGGCGTGCGGCACCCCTCCACTGAGGTGGCGCCGCCCCTCACTCCCCGCTTCTGGGCTGCGGGTCCGCGCCCCTCAGCTCGGGCGTCCTTCCGCGCCGGCAGTCATCGCCCCTTGTTCCCCGCCAGGCCGGCCCGCGACTTGGGGCCCCTCCAGGGCCCGGCCCTCGCCCGGCGAGGCCGACCGCTGCTCGCCAGCTCCCTGACCCGGCCCGAGCCCCCTCCGGCGCGCCCCGCCTGCGCGCTGCTTTGCGCCCCGTGGGCCGCCAGCCCCCCGAGCGGCCGCCCAGCAGACGCCGCGGCTCTCGGCCCAGAGACGGCCCTCAGGCAGGCCCGGCCCCCGGGCCTCGCACCCCTGCTGGGTCTCCACCCTCACCTTGGTCGCCTCCTTTTCTCCCCATTCGCCCTTCATCCATCCCTCTCTCCTGCAGTGCTTGCGCTCCAGGCCCGAAAGAAAAGGACCAAGGCCAAGAAGGACAAAGCCCAGAGGAAGTGAGTCTCGCACCCCAACATCCCGTTCTCTGGGTCTATCCCCGCACTTCCTCTCCTCCGGTTTCACGCCTGGAATGTTCACGGGGTCTGGGGCACCCGGGCGGCCCCGGCCACATGGCCTCGGGGCGGCCGTGGAAGGCTGCGCCCCTGGAACCATGTGGGAGGGAGCTTCGGTTGCTGAAGGTCTGGTTTTGAGCAGCCTGCTGGAAAAGGGCTATTGGTGGAGGACCGGAGCAGTTCGGGCCATTACCTTCCCAACTGCAGGAGGAGGCACCGGCTCCCCGAGTTTGGGCCTCCGCACCGAGCTGTTCGATCATGATCAGTTTGTGAACTCTGTTCTCTTCCATACCTGCTTCGCAGCGTCTTAACTTGCCTCCTACGTGTGCAGGGGAGGCGGCCAGGGAATTCTTGAATGAATTTTCCGTCTTTCGGTCTGCCAGCCTACACGCTCCCTTTTATAGAGGGCAGGAGCTTCCCCCCAGGGTTAGGCAACTTCCTGAGTCTGCAGGCGCCTCGCGTTCCTCGCGGTGTGCAGGCAGCCCCCTGGTCTGCAGCCGGTTTCGGTTGCTGCTTGTTTTGGGCTGAATGCAGAGGCCTTCTGGAGTGGGCATCGCAGCAGTGGCGGGGAAGTTGTTTAGCCAACGCCGTTACGGATTTTGGCATGGTTTGTTCAGTGCTACAGGCCCCTTTTTATCAGCAGGATGCATAATCGTGGTTTAGCGCTATTGTGGGAAACACAAAAGTTGGTCAGAGCTTCATAAAAACGCCCAGTAGAGGGCTTCTGCAAGTGAGGCTTAGTCTGAAGAACTTTTATCTTACACTTACGTTTAATTGCAGAGGGCCTTGGGGGAAAAATGCATTATTTTCTGGACACTTTCCCATTTACTTGGGTCTCCCTGGAGTTGTACACCATCTACGTCTTTCTGATGAAACTCATTTCCGAGGCTTTCCTAGGTTTCCTTTCTGAGTGATAATACAAGATCCGGGTATATGTGCGTGTGTGTACGTATGTGTGTTGTTTTTGGCATCTACCTAATGTATCAGGAGAGCAAATAATGACTTCTATCAGTAGAGCTAAAGTAGACGAACTCACAGCTTGCTTCGTTTCAGTCAACTTTTATGAATTTATTTTGTGAAGTGCTTGGTAACCAGTGTATTTAAATGAGTTTATGTATGTTTGTGTATGTATTTGATTTGCCTCTTGATTATCTGTATATCCGAGTTTTTACTCGGATAGGTTTAATAGAAGTAACAAGGAGCTAACCTGGTTCTCCTGTGCAGTGGGAATTTAAATGTTTCTGTGTGTGTGTGTGTGTGTGTTGTTCTCTGTGGTTCTCCTGTATGTGTGTGTGTGTGTTATGTTACTATCTGTGGAGCTGATATGAATGTGTTATAAACCAATATGTTTTCTTCTGATGTAAGGAGGTGGTGATTTTATTACTTACTGTATTATTTAGAATTCTCTCTTTGTTCTCTTCATAAGGAAATGAACCTTGGTATTAGCCTGAATCAGCCTATAATTTGGGAGGTGCATATAGTAAGGGTGATCATATACTTTATTTTTAACCAATATTCATTACTTTGGATTATCTATATAGACCATATGTTTTATTCGTAAAGCTGAGTATATGTATTTTGGATTACCTGTTACTCTTCCATTCACCACCGTGGGTAACTTAGAGTTACTTGGACAAAAACAAGTGAATACTGCATATAATTAGCAGTTACTGTACAACCTTGATTCTTTGAACCACCCCCATTTACTTGTAGTTTCAGAGGTGCTTTATTTATTTGTTTTAATTAATATTTTGATTTGGGGGGGGCGGGTTTCTCCAGCCTCCTTTTAAGTACCTGAGATGTCTAATTAATTAGCTTGGTTAGAGAACTATGTCAGAAGTTCAAGCCCCATTTGACTCAGGTAACCTGACTCTATTCCATGACTTCTGACTGCACTCCTGATTTCCAGTCATTTTGCAAAGGCAGGCTGCTAGTTAACCATATTAGTCAGGGAGAAAGTCTGACAAAAAGCATGCCATAGTTTATTTAGTCTTTGGACCTTGGATTCCTTAAGGAAACAGTCTTACATGTTACAATTGGTAGCTCAGTCATAATGAAAACTGATCAGGACTTAAAGTTAAAAAAAAAGCAAGCATTTAAATGAATAATTTTAGAAATTTTTCATGTAAAACAGTAAATGACATCCTAGTAATTTAGTCCTGGTGTGGTACAGGTGGAAAGGATTTTTAATCAGTTTATTTTGTGGATCTTAATACTGGAATTGACATAGTTTAGAGAATATGCCCAGGGAGCTGCACCTGTTTGTAGCAGTGTCAAAACTGGAATCCAGCATTCCTGTCTTCCAGTTCAGTGCTCTTTAGGATTTGTTTCCTTTCTGTTCTTTTAACTCTGCTGAAATATCTGACTTGGGGAGCTTTAGTTGTCTTACTTGGGGAATTCCTTATCCATTTCACTTTTTCAAACACTGTACTCTCATTTACTGATGTTAACTAGTTGGTGACAGTCTCTATTTTATTTATAGATAAGGAAATTGAGATTCACCAGATTACCCACCTAGAAAATTTGAAGCTAGGATTCTAACCCAAATCTGACACGCCCCAAAGTCCTGGTATATCTCCCAGTGACAGTTCTTTTGGTGTATCTAAGGACAATTATGGTAGAGGCCAAGTGAACAGAGGCTTCTGAATAAGGGACCTCAGGATGCCTTGATGTTGAGGTACACGTTCATCACCCCCTGAATATGTCTGTTTATAAAGGATAGTGTTCTGTCTCCCTTTGAGCATTCAGTTTTCAACGTGTATATCAAAAGCTGTGTGCCTTTATTTGTTTATTATTTTATAATTTAATGTGATTTACATATGCATTTGAAATTGTATGGAATAGAAACATATAGATGTACATATATATTGTTTAGAAATATGTGTGTTTCTATTCCACAGAGTCATATAATTCCAGAATAGATTTCATAACTGATTATTACGTAGCTTAGGAAGTTAGTTTGGACAGTAATTTACACTGTATTTGCAGTTAAAGAACTTTATGGAGTTAGTATAAATTTGGTAGTAAAAATTTTTGAGCTGGAGAAGTGCTTTTACTCATTTTAGCACTCATATATGGTGTCAGAGGGGAGTCTTAATTTTCCAAAAATGTAATTGAAAACTCAGAAGGGACTTTGAGTTTTGAAAAAACTTTGAAAAAAAATTTCAACATTTTTATCCAGTAAAGGGTAGAGTACATAAACTTGAAACCGTTTTTTAAAAAATTAAATGGTATTAGATGCGTTTTATGTTTAACAATGTACCTTGAAAATTGGTTCTGCTCCAGTTCCATATAGTGCAAGATTACCATTTTTTTTTTTAAAGGTCTACCTTTTTCACCATCTTAGGAACGGTTCCATATCAAGACTCTAGACAGTAGCTTCATTTAGCATTCCATCAAACGGATGGACCATAATTTAGTTCCTATTAATAAACATGCATATATTTTTAAAGACAAAAATAGGATTATTGAATATACTTTTCCCTAGTTAACATTACCAGAACATTTTTTGCAGCTTAAGTATTTCACATTGTTTTAAACATTCCACTATAGGCTATTAATTCACAGCTAAGATGAATAGTCTTTTGGATTACCATTGCTCCCATCAGTGATTATTTCCTTAGGATAAATTCTTAGAAGTGATATTACTAGTGCGTACATTTTAAAAATTTTAAGTTCATATTGTCAAAGTTTTCTCCAGAAAAAGTTAACCAGCTCCTATTCATTAAACACTTAGAAGCAGTTTATTTTAATGAGAGGATACAAAGAATAAACAATAGACAGCATCAGTAAATTACGTAGTTTGTTAAGTGATAAGGTGGAAAATAGAGGAAGATAAGAGGGATTGAGAAGCCGAGATGGGGGTGCAGTTTTAAGTAGGGTGAAGGAAGCCACATTACTAAGGTGACACTTGACTGAGGGCGGCTCCAAGCAGAGTGTTAGGAATAGGAGTGTTCTTCCAGCTCCTGCTTAGCCTCCAGGACTGGGCAGTGTTGCTTGAAAAGGCTTCGCAAAACTGGTAATCTGTGAGATATCTTAATTTCTTTTATCACTAGCAAAGTTGACCATTTGGAGGATATTATTGGCCAGCTACTATCTTTTGCCCATTTTTATGTTGGATGTTGATTCTTTTCTTAATCTTAAGAGCTACTTGATAAGAATATAGCTTTTGTTATGTGGAAGGTTTGTATTTCTCTCAACTTCATAGCCTTTCAGATTGCATTTATAGTGTGTTTTTGACATAAATTGACTTTTTCAAATGTGGCTAATCTATCTTTTTCTTTGCTTTTTGAAATTTTCAAAGGTAATTGTCAACTGTCTGATGTTTAAAAAATAGTGGCATTTTTAATTTTGTGTGATTCCATTAAAATATGTACTTGAAAAATTATCTACTACTAAAATTTCACCTTTAGAATTGCTGTTATCAGAAATGTTTTCTTGTCTTCTTTCTCAGTAAGTTTATATATGTTAGTAAATTTTATTTCTGTTAGTATTTCTTCTGTAGCAAGACCCAGAGGCTTTATCATGTTCCTTTAGATTGCTTGAAACCAGCAACTTGTTGACATGCTAAAAGTGACTGTTGCTTAGGAAGTCCTTTGTTAAAAATGAAGACAAGACAGGCTGGTCAACAAAAATTCATTTTTACCATATTTTTTAGACCTGGTAGAATAACTGTAGCAAATATTTTTTTCCTTCCACCTTATATAGACTTTTGCCCAGTGTTTCCCAGACCCTGTCTACCACCAATGCTAGTTTGGGGACTAAGTTCATTTTTATATTGACTAAAGTATTTTAATGCTTCTCTCACTGTATCTGAAGTAATCCAAGCATATAAAAAAACTCAGATAGCTAGTAGTTTTAATGATTTAGCTGAAGAGATATAGGTATCTAAAAATATTTTTATAGTTTTTCTTTGAATTTAAGATGCTATTAGTTCTTAATTC